GACCCGCTGCGCTCTTGCGCGGGGCGGTGCGCGCTGCCCGGGCCCGGGACGCGCGGAGGGTGCCGTGCGCTCCGGGGCGCTAGGGCTGAGCCGCGGTCAGGGCCCCCTCCGTGGGACTTGGAGACGCGAGAGCCCCATGGAGGGCGGTGGGGCTGGACTCAAGATTGGCGCCCCCCTGTTTGCTTCAGCCTGGCCAGTGGAGGAGGTTTTGCGCCCCTAATAACCATTCCCCAGGGCCCTGCGCTGTCAAGGGGCATCTTCCCTCTGCTTTAGGCTTGAACTCTTGAGCAGTTTGCGGAGCCTTTTCTTGCAAGCTCCTCTTCCTCCGTCTTCCATCAGCCCCTCCTGGGGTGGGGGGTGTCGACGGGCCCCTCCAGTCTTTCCTCCAGTCGCTGAGGGAAAAGGAAAACCTGCCCTTGGTTTTTAATCTCCTTGGGCGGGTGTAAGTGGTCTGGCATTTGGAAAGCTCAGCGCTGCTGCTCCAATGCCTCCCGCATGTTGGGTGCGTGTTTGACTGCAGCTCAACACGGGCTCCCCGGGAAACGCCTTGGCCTGGCTCTAACGCATCCTCCTTCCGTTCCGCAGTGTGCCAACATGCTGCTGGCCTGGGACTCAATGCGACCGAGCCAGAGGGGAATGTGTCCGTGGCGTGGGACCACAGTGCGGAGGGGCACGCGGTGGCCTCAGGAAGTGACTATGAAGAGGACGAAGAGGAGGAGCAGGACCCCACGGTGCCGATGTACATTGTGGACGAGTCGATTAGAGGTGAGTTCAAGGGGCATTTCGGTTGCTTGCCCGCCTCCTTCCTCCTGGATCCCAATCTTGTCTGACCAGGATAATGTATCACATGGACTGGCTGTCGAACCTCCTGGCTTGAAAGTGCTTTGCATCCTGTCTAAAGTTTACAGTGTAGTTCAGTAGTTCTCTGCACCCCCACTGTACAACTTGCTCCAGCCCTGGACACAGGTCACTTAAAAGACAGCAAAGTCTCTTTGGTCGTGCCTGGCGAGCACCTGTTACATACAAGAAAAATCTCGTTGTGCTAAAGGTGACTATTTTGATAAGCCTTGAACTTGCCTTCCAGTGATTCTTCCGTCCTAATGTTACACTGTTTGGTTTGCCAGATACTCTGCTGGTGTGCAGGAAGAAGCATTTTAGCATCACCCAAAGCTCTAAAATGTTCTAGCCAATATCCTCTGGCAGTGTAATGTCATCCCAGTCAAACCAACGAAGTGGACATACGTGTCCTACACTTCCTCGCCTCCGTTGGTGCAGAGTACTTGCAAAAAGCAGGCTTGGAATGTTTTGACTTGCACTAAAATCCGTGCGAGAAGTCGCTCGCACGGGGACGAGCAAGCACCAGTTTATTGTGTGACGATTGGTGTGGGTCTTGACTAGGAGAAAAAGATGGTTTTTAAATGGTAGCAGCAGGGCTTGTCCAACGTGTTCTTAAAACCATGACATAGGTGGGGCAAGCTTATATTTGAACCTGTTAGCTGGCTGAGGGGAACCGTAAATACAACTTATCCACACCAAAACTTTGAAAACGCTTGTGTAATGTGGTTCTTTCTCAGTTGTCTTTCTGTTTAGATGAGGTCTCAAAGTTGCCCCTTATTATCTTGTATGCCTCGTTTCCAGGAAAGCACTTGAATATCTTAAATGTGACTAATAGTACAGGAGCCTCCTGTTTGGCCCGTGTCCTTTCAAGTTAACGAGGCTAATTAGGGAACGGCCATAGGAAAAACTCAGAGGGCTACTTGTCGGACTTGAGGTTAGAGCTGTGGTATGCAAGCTTCATTTGTGAAAAGAAAAACGTTGCAACGTGCTTGTCCTTATATTTATCCTCCAATAGTCTGCAAGTTGCAATGGGCTACTGGGCATGATCTGGTTGTTTCTCGTCAGGGAGAAAACGGCCATGACTCCAATAATGGCTCAAAGGATCAGACTTCTATAGCTGGACCCGAGTGACAAGGTTCAAAGTAGCACTTGCTCCTTGTTCAGTGTGGGTTTGGCTTGGGCCCATCTCTGATACGTTGTATTGCATGCACTAGGCATCCGTGGGAAAATGGATCTGTCCACCTAAGTTTTGGCCTGAAGCGTATTGGTTCACGGGTGAATCATCTATAGAAAGGCTGTTGTCAAAGCTGGGCTGTTCCCCAGAAGCTGCTCTTTGTTGATGGGCTATAGACTTTTTGCTGGGCTGATTGAATTGAAAGCCCCATAAATTTAAATTCAATAGCAGATTGTAACAGCCTCCCCCCGCTCCCCATGCCCTAAGATTTAGGCAGCTTTATAAGGACATTAAACTTGCAAACTATTTGTTGGTATAAATAAAATGACAAGGCCAAAACTGCCTTTTCCTTTTATACCCAAGCTGAGAAGTTGAGCCCTGTAAGATAAGGGCCAGCTCTCAAATTAGGTCAATTGTCTTGATCTCCCAAAGTTGACTGTCTAGTTAACTGAACACCTGACATCCTTGTCCTATCCACGGTGGCTATTCATGGCCTTGTTTGCTAGGACAGGAAACCTTACAGATGGACCAATACTTTTTGTTTTGTCTGTTGGCTTATCATTTCTTAGTCTGCTAGCTGAGGATGGGTGTGTGTCCATGTGTGTGTCCGTGTGTGTGTCCGACCAAAATACATGACAAATGTAGTTCATAAGAACTTTAAATGCTCAGGTATATATTTGGGGGCCTTTCAGCAGCCAGTTGGACTACTCTGGTTTTATGATAACCAAAGTGATGAACTAGCCTTTGTTAGAACCGTCAGGTCATGAACTCCATGACTCCCAGTCTGTGGCTTATCAGATTGGTGTGTCAGTTGCATCTTAGTGTAAAAGAGTAAAATATTTATCCTAGAATGTGTGGGGTCCCATCTGAGCCCATCTGTAAAGGTACCAACACAAATAACTTTGTAGTTCCATATTTCATGAAACAACCTGAAATTGTATGCTGATTCTTCTTGCTGTGCGCTGGTGTCTATAATTTCTTGAGCCTCTTTAGAGGCTCCTAGTACACTATATGACGCTGTAGCTAAACAGCAATAGTTTGTTCACAGTACTTAAAGATGCTAACGTGCAAAAAGGTAAAGTGAACACTAAAAATCACTTACAGCATCGTTCACTCCCTGAAATGTATCTCATTTGGAAACACAATAGCAACAGTGAAAGTGGTAGAACTGAATTCCGGTGTGAATGTCTTTTCTAGTTCTCTCCAGTATAAAATGCAAAGAGCTTTAAAGTAGGAGTAGCTCTACAATATTGCACAAGTTTTTCTGCCAATGTATGTCCTACACAGCCATTGGGGATATCATCATTCTAAGGTGAGAGTCCAAATTCTGCTTTTACAGGTGCATGCGGGTGCCTGGTTGATGTACACCACCTCTGATCTCTGCTTTAATGCAGGGTGGGTCTAAGCCAGGTGATGACTGACTTCCCTCGTAGCAGGCCAGCTTCTGACTTGCAATTATTGTGAAGAGTCCATTTAGGCCAAATCTTCATTGTGGCTTCAGTGTGCACCTGTAAATCCGTACACTGAGAGCAACTTAATCCTGAATTTAAAGCCATGTGAAACAACAGCTGGGCTTTTCCCAGCATTCTAGAGTGGTCATGTTTGAGGCCCAGTGGAATTATCTTGGCCACAAAACGCCTGGCTATAAATATTCATTTGCATACAAGGGCTTGCTTTTTTTTATCACTCCCTTCCTCGCCCTTTTGCTGCGGGGTTAAGGCCTAGGGTGTAATTCCATGTTGGAAGGGATTAGCTGCTACAAATTCTGGACTGAACATGACTTTCTCTCTTTCCCAGTTGAACCTGTGATTAAGCCCAAGCAAACAAAACCCGAAAAGAATCCTGACAAAACAAAAAGAAAGCGACTCAAAGGGAAGAAAAATAAAAAGAAGAAAGGGACGCCGTGCGACACAGAGTACAGAAACTTTTGCATTCACGGTGAATGCAGATACCTAGAAGAACTCAAAGAAGTAACATGCAAGTAAGTCAAAACTCAAATGTGTAGCTGTATCTGAATCTATGGCAAAGGTACTCATCGCAAATAATGACTTAGAGGGAAATCAGCTTTGTTCAATTTCTCGAGAATCATTCTGCCATGTAAATTAAGTGGTGGTGAAATTCGTAAGCTGCATAACGAGCCACTGAACTCATTAGTTGATCATAAAATTGAAAGCAGAAAGAATGAACAGGCGTGCCTTTCTGATGCCTCACACCCAAAACTGATCTCAACTTGTTTTAATTCTGGCAGACCTTGGGCTACGATGATCACTCCCTTTCCTGCAAATTCTTTAACTCTAATACGGTGATACCTGGATGTTAATTGACTGAAAGGTCACCCAGTTATGGCTGAATGCATAAGTTTACTTGTCTTCCAACAGGGCACCAGTGTTTCCTGTAAATTGTGCATTTGAGCAGGCACTCGGGAAAGATTCGGGTGCTATCCAGCTGATTAGCAGAGTGCCCACAGCCAGCAGCATGTGTTTTTACTGGTGGTGCACATCTGCCCATGCCTTGGTGTATGTAATAAAATTTATTCCACACAGACAAAAATAGAGGGAGCATTTCAGGGCACCCAATGTTCCTGGAATTCAAGCTGATTTTCCTGTGGGTCATTTTCAGATGCCATGAGGATTATTTTGGTGAACGCTGTGGTGAGCAGTTCATGAAGACTCAAAGGAGGAACGACCTAAGCAACTTTTCAACAACCGTACTGGTGGTGGTGGCTGTTCTGCTCTCCAGCATCAGCTTCATTGCGATTGTCGTCATTGTCACAATGCAGTGAGTATGACACTTCCATGTCTAGCTGAATTAAATAGATGCTTGCACCGTATGGTACCGTGTTAGAAAAATAAGTCCGGGATGAACTTGTTCTGCAGCATTGAAAAGGCGCATGTATAAAATAAGACTCGTCCTTGCCTTGGAGTTCACAGTCTAGTGGAGATTAAACACATAAACTGATCGGTGAATGGTGGTGTGTTTGTAAGGAGACCAAAAAGGCGGTGGGGTATTTGTTGAGCCCAGGCAGTCTGGTTCATCACTCATGATGTATTTGTAGAGATTTACCCCTCTCTGCCGTCATTGAGAGCGTTGGAGGACACAGAAGTGGAGACTGGTGGTGGAAAAATTCAAATTTTAACTTCAACAGTCTCCATTGCAAACTGGTAACATTATATGCAGCTTCTGCTGACATGGCAATGGCATATGAATGTACAGATCTCTAAATGTACCTGTCACTTCATATGTGGAGGGCCCCTAGATCGTAACTCCAGACAGAAAGTGCGTGGAATAGATCTGCGCAGTGTAATCTGTGGACGAGAGATTGATTTGCAAGTAACTTGGGCACAAAATGATACCTCTACACATGGTCAAACTTCAAGATATTGGACACTGAAAAGGAGCGTACAAAAGTCATTCTAATCAGAGCAAGCTGTATCCATTTACAAACAAAAAACTGAATTGCATGAGCAGCTACCTCTAGGGAAACTTGAATATGAGGGGCATGGAGTAGCTGCCAACCCAAAATCTCCCTGACCTTGGCAGTATTTTGGTTTAAATGATGCTCGAAATGATGATCGTGGATCAGAATGTGCCAAAAATAAAAAGGAAATGGGAGCTATTCGCGCCCTCCCCCAATGCCTTGTCTACAAGGGTAGGTGCCCCGAAAGCACAGTGAACTTGTGCTCTAGTATATTGCTTTGATTGTTCTCGCCGTGACCACAAACAAAGTAATTCCATGGTCACACGGATGAGCTAGTGACATATTCCTCACATGGGCACCTGTCACTCGGATATCCATCTCTCCCTCTATTTACCTGGGAATGGTGTTTCTAAAAGTTTTAGGGGAAGGCTGAGGGCATCGAATGGAACCAAAGTGTGGTACTTTAACAGGACCGAACCCTTTGAACGCAGCTGTTACCTCCCTCTGCACAGCAAATGGTTGCCAGTAATGCATTTCACACATTATGAACAATCTGGCTCATGTTTAGCCTCCCGCCCCCTTTAAAACAGTTTCCATTCAGTTAGCACAAGCAGCCTAGGATGTCTAGTGAATTAGCATCTAACGCCACGGTGGAACTTAAGCTGACTATGCAATAAATCCAACTGTGCAGCAGCCTGGGATAATGTAAAGCAAACCCAAAAGTCAAGATCTAAAATTAGACTAGACAGACTGCACTATAAGAACTGAATCAGGTACGTGCTGTACCCATTCCCGCTGTTCAAGAAACAAAGGCGTGCACTTCTGTTTGCCTGTTCCTGCTTCATACCTACATCTCATTTAAGAAGTGCTGATGCAGGCACAACTGGGCCAAAGTATTCACTGTATTATGAATGGGCTGCGTCTTTCGTGCTCAGAGGGATGTGGTATAAAGTAACTAGTTCACATTGGCAAAACAGGGAGCAGGATTATAATGAGGGATTATTATGTATTAATACATGTGATTAAAAATAGACTTAAACTATCAAACTAGGACCTTCTGCAACTTGGAACTTTCGACATAAAATTCAGGTTTTTAAAACAGCTCTCTAAAGTCTCACATCTCTGACACCAACCCCGGAAGAGGAGCTGGGGGTGAAAGTGAATTGAATATGCCACATATGGTGTCCACGTGATTTGAAGATGAAATACTAAGAAACCCTCATACCCACCTTGTGGCGTTAAACCATGTTAAATGCCCCTTAATTTTCTATCCGATATGGAAGCGGCTTATATTTCTGAATTAGAATGACCTTTGTTTAACAAAAAATATTCTCCTCCTGCTTTATGGTTTGGACGAGAAGCTAGAAGTAATAAAACAGTGGTTGAAGCAGGTGCTTTGGGAGGAAGAAGGTTGGATTCTTGGTATCTATTTCAGAACCGTTGCATGACCTTGGACAATTTATTTAGGGTAGAGTTTATCAAAAAGCACCCAGCGTTGGCTTGTTCCTATTGGACTTCAGTGGTCAAACTGATCAAAATGGGGATTGTGATACTTCACCTCTTCTTGTAAAACCTGTGGATGAAAAGTCCAATGGAAATGTCCCGTATTCTAGAATTGGAATTTCCTTTTGCTGGATCAATCCCTGAAGCTGTGCATGGGCTGCAGCAGTATCTGTTCAGAGCTGGAGAATTCTTAGTTCCCACTCCGTCCGCACGGGGAGAAAAAAAACCCAGTGCTCCTACTTTCCACAAATTGGTTCCTTAGAGCTGCAGCCTGATTGTTTGAGGATACACTTGGGGAGTGGCGGGGCAAATATACTACCTCGGAATGAGCTCTTAACCCTAATGTTTTGTGGCTCCACAGGGTGAGGAAAACGTGTCCTCAATATGAAGAAAAGGAGGAGAGAAGGAAGCTCAGACAAGAGACTGGAAACGGCCATGTTGACGTGTAAAGGAGGGCCCAGGTACAGAAGGGTTTTGGTGCTAGCGCGATGACATTCTGAGCTTGCGCCATCCTTAAACCACTCGCGCGCTTCGTAGTTCTGCACAGGCAGGAGCTTTAGCCTTGGACACAGGACCCCAGACTCTGGGTGTGGACAGTAGCCTTGTGGGTATTTGCAGAACCTGTGTCCTTTCTTATGCAGAGGCAAAGGATGGGAAGATCCCGAAATGCCTGGTTATAGTAGCCTCTTAGCTCCTCCAAAGCCTGACGAGCTTGTGCA